TCGATTCTCACCCCCACGCCCGCCTTTAAATAATTATTACACGATTATCTACTGTCTCGTTGTCTTGTCTTGTCTGTACTCTACTCACTAGTCTACACACAATTTTAGCTCCTCGATTTCGATGACTATGAGTATTTGGGCAGAATCACAGTTGGTACCCCTCCACAAGAGTTCAATATGTTGTTCGACACCGGCTCTGGATGGTTCTGGGTTCCGTCAACAAATTGCACCAAGTGAGTGCCATCAGTTCCACAAATAATTACGCATATGAACTTTGAAATAGGTTACGAGTTCCGCTCAAAAGTTGAAGAAGTTGTTTGAGTTCATTTTTGTGTTTTTATGGTTCAAAATAGACTTTATTTTGGTCTCAAAGATATCCATCGAGAAATAGTTAATTCATTCTGTAAAATCATTCTTTAACAGTTTCACAATTAACTCCTTTAAAAACATTTACTCATTTGAGACTTGCTTGTGCCCGTACTCATCATTTCGACCCAACAAAGTCGACCACTTTCAAGGAACAGGGCGATGCCCTGATAACACGGTATGGTGCTGGATCTGCGTCTGGGGTTTATGGAAATGACACAATCACGGTAAGCAATTTACGTAGATAATCAATTTGTTTTTAAATGGCTATCGGACATTTGATATGCGCCCCTCCCCGTTTGCCATTGGCAAACTTTGAACTCAAATATCTTAGTGTTGGGCTGTGTCATTTAAATATTCTTGGTATCATTAGATGCGCCAAGTCTTTCTCTGTCGATTGGTACAAAACTATTTAAATTGAACAATCCAACACCAAGATATTTGAGCTCAAAGTTGAATTGCCAATGGCAAAGGCGGCTGGGCGCGTATAAAAGGTTGGACAAACGCGCCCGCCCCCTTTGCCATTGGCGATCTAACTTTGGGCTCAAATATCTTGGCGTTGGGCTGTCCAATCTAAATAGTTTTTGTACCAATCGATAGAGAAAGACTTGGCGTATCCAATGATACCAAGAACATTTAAATTGCACAGCCAAAGGCTAAGAAGTTCGAGATCAAAGTTGGTTCAATGGCAAAAGAGGCGGACGCGTGTAAAATCTCCCATATTCTTTTCAGATTGGTGCTTTGAGCAAAAAGCCTCTAGCGCTACCGTACACTCAAATAGGTCTCGCTGACCATTTTGAATTGGGTATTCCATATTTGCCAATCCGTTTTGATGGAATCCTTGGCCTCTCTCCGTATTACTCGTCTATGGGCAACACTAAACCAGTTTTGTATGAAACTCACGGTCAGTACTTCATTGGTATTTGCAAGAGTTCACTGAAAAAGTTCTGACAAGTTTTTGAAAGCAAACTCTATACAGTTGAATGGTTACTATAATATTTATACTATAATATTCCCATTTCACCTCTCTTTAGGGCACCTGAAGAAGATTTTTACGATTTTCTTGGAGCATCGTGGTCACAAAGATGGAGTCAAAGGTGGTCAGATCACTTGGGGTGGCGTTGACACAAAAAATTGCGAAGAGGAAATTCATTGGGTGCCAATGGCTGCAAAAGATCGATATGACATTAAGGTATCTTAGATTTATAGAAATTTGCTTGTTTTATAGAAATTTAGTTTCATTATGCTTGTTTGGTTTCATAAGTCAAAAGTTCAACAAGAAGTTCAACAATAATATTGGATTGTCCAGTTATGAATGCGCGTTTTTTACTATTTTGTAAATTTCTCAAGATTCTCAGACTTTCTCAAGATACCGAAATCAAGAAAAAGATATATATGAGTATTATTCGAAAGCTGATGATCTCCTCTACATTTTGATATAAAAACATTTTGATATTTTGAATTTGTTCAGCTTTTGGGCAAATTGACTGCACAGAAGAAGAGGTGGTCAAAAAATGGAAGGGTGCCTTTGGATCAAGTTTTGGCTCCGCTCAAATTGAGTTAACCGTTTGATGTTTGACCAATAGGATGGAATCCACGAGATTCTTCCAAATGGAATCCACGAGATTCTTCCAAATGGAATCCACGAGATTCTTCCAAATGGAATCCACGAGATTCTTCAAAAGACTTTGGGGGATGGTGGCCCAGAGACGTTGAGTGTGAACCCATAAGGGTTTTGGAATGGGTTTTTTTTGAAAACGACCTCTCCCTTTGTGCAGTCAATTTCCCAAAAAGTTGAATGAGTTCAAAAACTTTTTTTATTCCAAAATGTAGAGGAGATCTTCAGCTTTCGAATGATATATAACACTCATATACAGCTATTCGACATCTTGAGAAATTTACAAAATAGTAAAAACGCGCATTCATAACTGGACAACCCAATATTTAAATGACAGATGTTCTGAAGCAGATTTATTTTCTCTAGAAAACATAACTAATGACTAGATTACTCTAGGAAACTCTAGGAAACTTTTAAGGAGAATTGTTTTATTTAACTTTTAAGGTGGACGGCTGGAAAATGAACGACATTTCCGTGAATGAGGCTGGAATTGTTCTGGCTGACACTGGAGCTCCGGTTTTGGCCGTCCCACAAGAGATCTTCGATGAATGGGTCAAAAAGGCTAATGCAAAAACGGTGAGTGTCGTTTATTTTCATGAATCAAATGCTTTTAGTTTGACAAATACCAATATTATGCAGATTGTTCAACAAATATTCCGATTGAAGTGACAATTGCTGGGAAAGTTTACACCATTAAAGCCAAGAACTATCTTCGAGAAACTGGAGGAGAAATGTGCGTTTTGAGCTTGAATGCCGGGTCAACAATTGTTACAGATGTGCCGCAGATGTGATAGTCGGTGGAGTTCTGGGAGTTCCCTTCTTTAGGGAGTACTGTATCGTGCATGACCTCGAGAAGTTGAGACTTGGATTCGCGAAAGCCATTCACAAGAATTCGTGACAATAAATTGCAAAGCGGTTGTTTTTTGCCAGACATTTGCCAACACAATGATTGAAACTTCAAAGCTTATGATAGGTATTTGGGTGTGAAAGAGTCTTACAATAGAATCTTGTTATAACGATCCAGTCATCTTCCTTTTTTATTAAAAAAACACTACAAATCTACAGGGTGCGTGAAAATCATTGATCGCTTTTATAAGCTTTGTAATTTTCCTGAAAACTTGTCCACAAAGATAAATTCGATTGTAAAACAATGGAAATATTGGGTTGGTGAATTGAAAACTGCGGGCTATTGTCATCTGTGACAGTTTGAGCACTTTCTTCAAAAGAAACCCATTTTGGTGTCAATGGAAAAGTTGTAGAGAATCAAAAATCAAGCTTATATCCAAATTTTCAGAACGATTCAAAAACTGGTTTTCAAGAAATGCCAAATTCACATTTACAAATTTACAAATTTCACAAGACTTGCATTTTAAGCGACACTACTAAGTGTATCTTTTTGGAAATTTGGCTATGCATTTATATATTTATATATTGTTTTTGTCTTTCTTTTGGTTTATTTTATTTATTTCTCCATTTACTTACTATTTTTTCTCAAAAAATTTCTCATTTTAGAATAGCCAAGAAGTGAGTGTACCGAGATGCGATCATCGACCTACACAAGCGTGGTGTTCTGGCGATGAATATCTCTAAGCGATTAATCATACGCAAACAACTTGTTTACAACGCGATCAAATGCTTTCAAGAGTTAGGAACAAATTCTGGTCGTTCCGGACGTGGTGGTAAAGCGACCGTTGTGACCAAGGCTAGCATCAAGAAGGTTTGAGATTGGCTACGCTTGAAAGCCACTGGTTCGCAGGCCAGGATGGCAAAGAATATGGAAATTTCTCGAACTTCTATGGGCCGTATTGTCAAAAATCGACTTGAAATGAAAGCTTATAATTTTTCCCAAAGCCAAAAGGTATCCGCGCATAAAACTCGCATCGTTCAAGATTTGTGCAAGCGGATTTTCCCCAATTTATCAATTTTAACCAGTGACCACCATCAAGCCCGGACCTCAACCGTCTCGATTATTCTATATGGAGTGTATAGTGAAGCAAAAACATTCTCAAAACCCCATCCAACGTCGATTCATTGTAGAAAGCCCTTCAGAAAGCTTGGAACCGCTTGACACGCCCCACCTTCTCGCCATCGTGGACGCGTTCCCAACGTTCTTGTTCTTGAGTTCTTGAGTCCCCGTAATCCTGGACAACCCTGTAGAGAGAGTCGACTGTAGTGGGCCACCCAAATCTCGACCTCTTGTGCATTCTTAAACTGGCAATTCGCAAGGAAATGTTGCATCGATCTGAAGAGGTGAAAATCAGATGGTGATAAGTCTGAACTATATGGCGCATGCGGTAAGACATTCCATCCTAATTCCTCTAACTCTATACAAGAAGCCTTCGCTGTGTGAGCTGGCACACGCGCTCACACACTTGTCACTTGTCACGCTTGTCAAGGAGAGAAAAAGGAAAAACCTGATTAAAATCCAACAATTTATGTGTTCAATCAAACTATTCTGGGTTTTGAATGGGAATTCCCGTTTCTGACAAGACAGAAGCCTTTATTTGATCCAAACAAGATTAAAATGCGAAAAGTTTTCGACTCCATATTTAGTTGATGTCACTTTTGGAAGTCACGTTTATCATTTGTTGTGAAAACGAGTTAAGAAAAAAATGGATTAAGAAAAATGACTGTTTCGTAAAGCATTTGATTTCCTGCAGAAATATTAAACTAATTGTCCAGTTTTTGATTGAAAGTTTTGTGATTTATCACTGATCACTAAACGGTCATTAATAAGAAAAGAGCTTTTTTGCTCTTTGATCACTTTCGAATGATTGAATCTCTGTTGCGAAGTTTTTTTTTGATTTGTGGGTCTTTTGGTCGTTTTATTTCGCAATCATAACTAATAGTTTTGTTAAAAAAAGTTATCAAAGAAAGAGCTGCTTTTTAATCAAAGAAAGAGTTTCCTTTTACAAGTAATTGAAAGGAGAAGCTTAAAAAGGGTCAATCCCAGTCAAATCCAGTCAATCCCACAAATCAAATGAAATGAAACATTGAAATGAAACTTTTATTCATGATGCTTTCGGTGTCAACTATGTTGCTCATTTGTGGAGCAGCAGCTTCAATTTTCAGCTCAACCGAACAGTAAGTTCCTCGTCACGAAACCATTTTCTGCGTCAGCTAAAAAGATTTGGTTTTAAATGCAAAAATAACTATTAAATCCAGTGGTGGGAAAAAAATTGCACCCTGTGCAACCAGGTCAATCGTAAATACCTAATATTTTTAGAAAACCTTTTCAACGAAATGACTTAAATGCAATAGACAACTAGGTGCAGCTAGCCTGATATAATTTACTTGAGTTTTGAAACATTTTTATGTACATTAACTATCAATCACAAAAAAAACGCCCAGAAAAGGCGGAAAAAAAATTGCAGCGCGGACAAAAAGCTTAACTTCAGTATCTAGTCGGTCCTCCTTGAGCTTTAATGATCTCTTTCATTCGATTTTGTATACTTGCAACCTGCAACTTGCATTTCTCGAGTCTTCGTGGCGAAGTCGACTTTCAAATCTCTCGCACGACTTGTCCCAAACCTCATCCTTCGAAGAAAACTGTTAGCCACGCAATTCTCGTTTAACATTTGCCCACAAATGTTCAATCAGATTGCAATAGAGATAGGGTTGCATATGGCCAGAGAGTAAGGCGATTTTAGTAAAAGAAAAGCCTCATTGATTCGAAATCAGTCCCGAAAATGAACAAAACGATCATTCGAAATCTTAACTTTTCGGCCCATCATCAGTTCTCTTGTATGTTTTGGTTCGTTATCTTGTTGAAATAACCAGGAAGAGTCCCATATTTGCACGAGCATACGAAAGCATCAAGTCCATCCATGATTTCATCAATTCGAATGTGACGAATGAATGAGTGGCAAAGCCTCCCCAGCACATTACATTAAAGTTGACTGTTGGTCTCGTGAATTTGAGTCGATATCGAGCTCCAAACGATCTTTTGATCATATGATAGCCATTCAAATTGGAAAATATAGAATTTGCACTCGTCACTAAAGAGTACATGCTTCCAGCTCTCAATTGACCAGTGTTGATGTTTGAACGCAAACTGTAATCGGTGTTGCCTGTGTCGTAGATTCATCAACGGTTTCATCAACATCAGCGTTTGCGCTTGAGTATCAACGGTCCGAGTACACTCCAAATGTTTTGAGTTGATTTTGCACAGTGCTCGTGGTTACATTGATTCCAAATCTCCGTTTGAAGAACAATCTCCCATCGGTAGCCGTGCGAGTGGGAGATAGAAAATGGTATTTGTGCAGGACTCTTGATCCTTCGTTATTTTGCGTGGGCGACCACTGCCTGTCTTTCCCTTCACGTTGCCAGTTTAAAAATATCGTTTGCAAATCCTATTCTGTGAATTTCGATACGCCAAACAATCGTTTGATGTCATGGTTGGGTCCTGGTTGTGTCATGGTTGAGTCATAGTTGGGTCCTGGTTGAGTCCTGGTTGCGTCATGGTTGAGTCATAGTTGGGTCATAGTTGGGTCATGGTTGAGTCATGGTTGAGTCCTGGTTGTGTCATGGTTAGGTCATGGTTGGGTCCTGGTTGAGTCCAATCCTTCAAGCTTTGGGGATTCTCTTCTTCGTTCGCGTGCAACTGTTTCCTTCTCGGCATCTAAATTAAGAACATTATAAAATGTAAAGAAATAGGCAAGAGAAAAAAGGGTTAAAGATTCAAAACGGTTCAATTCTTTTTCCACTCCTTTTTTTAACAAACTCCCATCTAAAAAAAACAAGACACCATTGAATACACTTTTCTTTTTATTTTTAGGAACACTAGTCTGCAAGCAACTAAAATCAACTGGCGACGCTGTTAAATGTGTCGACTTTTTTTTTGCCAAAAACCAGGATTTTTTCGAGAGTGCAATTTTTTTCCACTATTGTATAAACTTTTTGGGGTAGGCTAATTTCCGGCATTTTATTTGCTTTTACTTGAATAAACAAATTTTTATGTACTATTTTACTTGAGAATGTACGAGAAAATAAAGCCTTTATGGAAAACTCCAAAAGAGCATTGGTTAATCTACATTAAAATCTTTAAATTCGGCGCTGTTTTGAACGGCGCGATTTTTGTATGGGCGCTGTTTTGCAGGACGCTGTTTTGAATGGCGCTGTTTTGAACGTCGCTGTTTTGGCGGCGCTATTTTGACTAGGTCCCCTGTATTTAATAGTTATTTTTGCATTTAGAGCCAAATCTTTTTAGCTGAGACAGAAAATGGTTTCGTGACGAGGAACTTACTGTTCAGTTGAGCTGAAAATTGAAGCTGCTGCTCCACAAATGAGCAACATAGTTGACACCGAAAGCATCATGAATAAAAGTTTCATTTCATTTCATTTGTAAATGACTGGGATTGACCCTTTTTAAGCTCCTTTCAATTACTTGTAAAAGGAAACTCTTTCTTTGATTAAAAAGCAACTTTTCTTAACAAAACTATTAGTTTGATTGCGAAATAAAACGACCAAAAGACCCACAAATCAAAAAAAAAACTTCGCAACAGAGATTCAATCATTCGAAAGTGATCTAAGAGCAAAAAAGCTCTTTTCTTTTTAATGACCCTTTTCATTTAGCGATCAGTGATAAAACAGTGATAAATCAAAAAACTTTGAATCAAAATTGGACAATTAGTTTAATATTTCTGCAGGAAACAGTCATTTTTACGAAACAGTCATTTTTCTTAATCCATTTTTTTTCTTAACTCGTTTTCACAACAAATGATAAACGTGACTTCCAAAAGTGACATCAACTAAATATGGAGTCGAAAACTTTTCGCATTTTAATCTTTTTTGGATCTAATAAAGGCTTCTGTCTTGTCAGAAACGGGCATTCCCATTCAAAACCCAAAATAGTTTGATGGAACACATAAATTGTTTGATTTTAATCAGGTTTTTTCTTTTTCTCTCCTTGACAAGCGTGACAAGTGACAAGTGTGTGAGCGCGTGTGCCAGCTCACACAGCGAAAGCTTCTTGTATAGAGTTAGAGGAATTAGGATGGAATGTCTTACCGCATGCGCCATATAGTTCAGACTTATCACCATCTGATTTTCACCTCTTCAGATCGATGCAACATTTCCTTGCGAATTGCCAGTTTAAGAATGCGCAAGAGGTCGAGATTTGGGTGACCGACTACAGTCGATTCTCTCTACAGGGTTGTCCAGGATTACGGGGACTCAAGAATTTGAGGATTTAAAGACCACCTTACATTAAAATGACACCAAAAAAGCAAAAATTTATTTGAATACAATAATTTAACATAAAAAACAAACTTTTTTCAAAAAGATATCCCTTAACAGCGACACAGGCCTGGAGGCGTTTTGGGAACGTGTCCACGATGCCGAGAAGCTTTTTGAAGGGCTTCCGGCGAAAAAACGGCAACAAGCAATTGTTCAAGATATCTATCCAGTCATCCGATTCGAAACCATCTTCAAAACGACCGTTTCATCAGCACAAAAGGCGGCCCAAACCATCACAGAACCACCGTCAAAGTTTCGAGTCTAAACCCAAATTTTTCGGAGCTAGTGAATTTAGACATCTCACCTTCATGATATTTATTCTATGGGCCTTGTCGTTTGGGAGCTGATATAAAGAAGGTTTGTTCAGAGCTTTTTGACCTTTACTCGGAAGAAAGACTAAATACAAGAAAGTGGGTTACTGAGTTAACTAAGTTAAAACTTTCTAAGGCATAAAAACCCCCATTTGCAGGCTTGTATGATCAATGTACGAAGTTGATGGCGAATTTGATTATAATTTCTTTCTCTGCAGCTTTCTCCAAGGTGATGTCACGGAATTGGCGGCACCAAACTGCCAACCGAATCTGCAGCAAATAATCACAAGGTAATACAGTGCGTTTCAAATTCTTAAACGCACCCTCTAAAATAGCGAATTTTGCATTTAAACCACCGCTACAACTATTGATCTTTTTCTATTAGAAAGAGCATGTCTTAAAACCTAAAAAAACACGAAAAATAAGCATACTGTAAAAAATAAAAATTTTCAAAATAGAAACTTTTTGGTAAATCAACCGTTTCAAATTCTTAAACGCACTATGAAAATATGCTTATTTATCGACACAAATTAAAAATCAAAGGTAAAAAATCAAAACTAATAATCTGTACAGGCACCAGAACGATTAATTACTTGAAAAATGCGGTCTGGCATTGAATTGATGAGGTTTTGAAGAGCAGAGACGTCGCGATTGCGCCAGGCCGAAAAAATTGCTACTTTAAGTGTAGAAACGTCTTGAAACTGACGATGATTCTTGTAGACAGCTCGGACAAGTATTCCCCATAAATTTTCTATCGGATTGAGGTCAGGAGACTGAGCGGGCCAGTCCAAAGTTGCAATGTTGTTGCTGTTCAGCCAGTCTCGGGTGTCTCCGGCTCGATGAATTGACGCGTTGTCGTATTGAAACAAATCCGAAACGGTTGGATTTAGGAGCAAAAACAGCAATTGTCCAAGATATCTATCTGGTCATCCGATTCGAAACCATCTTCAGAGCGACCGTTCCATCAGCACAAAAGGCGGTCCAAACCATCACAGAACCACCGTCAAAGTTTAGAGTTCCAAACACCATCGGATCACGTCGAAGATCCCTCCAATAGTAGTCAACGCCATTGGGACCATCCCAATTCCATTTCTTCTCATCGGAAAAGATCACCTAAACGCAAAACAAATAATATTAGGTTGGCGACATTGAAATTTCGTTTGCCTTTCTCTTTATGGATTTTAACACTGGAGATACTATTACCATCGCAATCTCTTCTGTTTTAAAGATATAATTATTGTGTTTTATTACGCGTTTTTTCTTGATTTCCAGTTGATGAATTTTAATTAAAAAATCTTATAGATGCTAGACGACCTCAAAATATCGACTTCGCATTTGTTGCTGTACGATTTCAAACATGAAAAAACAGCAACTGAATCGCATGAATCACTTTGTAACGTATTTGAGAAAGATGTTAACACTGTTCATCAATGTCAAAACTGGTTCAAAAGATTTCGAAAGGGTGACGGAAGTCTGGAAGACCTGGGACGAAGACAAACAACGATTTGAAGCAGATAATCGAAAGTGATCCGAAAAAAACTACATGTGAACTTGCGGAATATTTTAATTGTGATCATAAAGCAACCGAAAACCATTTGCACGAATTGGGCAAGCTCAATAAAGCTGGAAAATGGATCCCACATTCACTAAGCGATGCAAGCAAAATCATCAGAGTTCTTTGTTCAGGAAATTTGCTTAGAATTTCCAAGAATAGTGGACTAGTGAATTTTGGGATGCAATTTTAACTTCTGATAAGAAATGGATTCATTATGACAATATTACAAGGATAAGACAATGGGTCGACCCGGGTGAAATTCCAAAGCCAATACTTAAACCCGATTTTCACGGAAAGGAAGTTATGCTGTCGGTTTGGTGGAATACCCGAGGCCTGGCTCATTTCGAAGTGTTAATTTCTGATCCGACTGTTGATGCAAATCTTTACGTTCAACAACTAGGACACGCGGACGCAGTTCTTCGCTCAAAAGGAATTTATCCGACAACGGCGCGATTGTTACAAGAAAATGCCTGTCCTCACGTGGCCAAAATTACGCAAGAGAAATTGGGCTGGGAACTTCTAGTTCATCCGCCTCATAGTCCAGATATTGCCCCGTCTGACTACCATTTCTTTCGAAGTATTCGCCACCCACTCGAAAGACACAAGTTCCAGAACATTGACGAGATCAAAAAAGGTCTCTGCTTTCTTTCAATCAAAACCAGCACAATTCTTTCAAGAGAGTATCCATAATTTGCGTCAAAGATAACAAAAATGTTATCGGTAGCTGTGGGAAATCTATTGTTGATTAATTGTTTCTGGTTGATTTTTACGAATAAATTTTGTTGTTGCTCAAAAACGAAATTTCAATGTCGCCAACCTAATAAAACATAAGCGGCTTTCTAACCATAGACCAATCCTGATTCATATGAGCCTTGGTGAACTCCAATCGGGCTTTCTTGTGCAAAAGCTTCACGGCCGGTTGCATGTTCAATAATTGTCGATCGATATGTGGATTTTCCGTGACGGCTCGCCAAATTGTCGACTTCGAAGCGTCAATTTTCAGTTCCGTTTTCACTTCATTGATCGTTTTTCCGTGGATTTTGTTCACAATATGGCGTCTAGCTCGCGGTGTAAGCTTTGGTTTTGGTCCTGGCTTCTTCTTTGGTGCAGAAACGAACTCGGACTTTCTATAATTTCGCACGGCAGAGTCGGATCGGCCCAAATTTTTTTGCGATTTTCCTTATTGAGTCGCCAATCCTCAAACGGGCATCAATCTGGCCTTTATCATAATCCGTGAGCAGCTTTCCGTGTGCCATTTACCTGGAAATTAACAAAAATTATAAATTTAATAAAAAAATATGCACAACAAAACGAAAAATTTTAAATAACAACAGCAAAGGCGGGTGCGTTTAAGAATTTGAAACGCACTGTAAGTTAATGCAATGATGGATCAATCTTTTTAGGTGCACGAATTTTCACCGACGATCGAGACTCAAAGCCCACGAAGTCTGTCAACAATTAGCAGCTCTTCCCCGGGTTAGTTACTCATAAAGCCGCGTTCATCGAACTTTCTAGCTTGAACATCAGGATATCCAGCCAACGATCGTCGAGTCACAAGTCTTGATTCGACCAGTTGGTTTTGATGAAACCGATGAACGACAACGAATTAGCGGGACACCTTCTTTTGACCTCTCATTACCAGATGTGACGATCAATTACTCGGAAGTCAACGCAATATCAATCAAAGAAAGCAAAATAGCAACGATGGAACACAAAACCGAAGAAGAACAAATGGAAGAAAATGCCGCTGTGGCTCAATTTGAAATAGCAGAAGCTCGAACAAATCGCAGCACAAATCATTCTGAACTTTCGCCACCACCGATCACATCATTTATGGGGCTGTTAGAAGCAGTGCAGCTAAGAAATGCTAACGTTGGTAAAAGTTTAGAAGCCAGTTTAGTCCAAAACCTCTGCTGCTTTTCAATTTTGATTCCAATTGTGCTGCTCATCGTGCTGGCCATATTTGGAGGCGCATATTATGCTTTCGCGGCCTCCTCAACACCAGTCACAATTATCGTCGGACCTGATGGAACACTACTGCCTACTGATGCAAGCGGAAGACACGTTCGACCAGACAATGAACCGGTGCCAACCTACGCCAATGGATTGCCCGTTGATTCCCCTGGTGAATTTTTGCCGACTGACAACAAGGGACGTCATGTCTTCATTGGAGCTGCCGAACCGAAAGTAACAAGCAAGGTGTTGAACCCGAATGAGATGAGACAGGTAGAAACTATCGATGAGACCAGTAGAACCCGAATCCCAGTTGTTTAGCCTGATGGAAGTTCTCTGTTGAGCCTCTTCAAGTGTGGACCTGGATGGAGACACTATAAAAATTTCTGCTATCGAGCATCGCTCGTTGGGGTAAATTGGAGACACTATAAATTACTAGCTGACTTTCTAGAAGTTCCTCCGAATAAGTTCCATAAAAGCGGAAAATTTCTATTAGGCTTTAAACTAAGAAGGGAAAGTCAACTGAACCGGGCAAATGCTATGCTACCCATACCATTCAAGGCAGAATTTGATGCTGATTCCGAATCTATATCCCATTTTTGCTAAATGACAATCTGCCAGGAGTTATTGTACACAGACTAGGCAATCTAACTAGCAATCCAACGAATCTAACTAGGCACCAGATCAAGGTGGCCTTTTAATACGAGAGCCAGGGGATATACTTTATAGAATCGAATATGCTAATTCTGAATATGTTTTTACTTTTTCCAAAGGAGCTCTGTAACGCGAGATATCTGAGATCAAAGTTTAGGCCGATTTTTAGAGTTTTTATAAGCTTTTTCTCCCTGCCTTGGAAGGAGAGCTGGTGACGCAGTGGATAGTGTGCTCGTCTCCAGAACAGTTTGGGGTTTCTTTTGCCCGGGTTCGAGTTCGCTCCCGGTATATTCCTTTCGCTTTTTTTGAGAAAATGATTAGAAAATTTGAATTGAATTCTACTATTTTGTGGAATTGAATTGAATTCCATTCCGCTATTGAACTATTTTTGCATAAGGAGTCCGCAAAATTGTGAGCAAATGTTCTAGCAACAACAAAAAACATTTATGAACAAAGCGTTTATGTTCCTAAATCATTTCTAAACCTTCTTCCGTTAATCAAGGTCGAAATAAATGAATCCTAACTTAGAACCTAATAATTAAACTTTCAGATAATCGGCCTGAAGGTCACATACGAAACAGCTGAACGTGTTTGCAGAGATTTGGCTGAAGAGGCTGATCTCGTCTCAATACACAGCAAAGAAGAGCAACGCTTTTTCCAAGGTTGAAAAGTTTCTTTGCAAGAGAATAAAAGAGTTTTTAAGGATTGGTTCGTGAAATGAATCGTGACTGCTGGATTGGATTGAAGGTTTGCTAGAAGGTTTTAACAAAGCATTCAAAAATTTGTTATAACAAAAGTGAAATTTTGATTTTATGATTAAGCTCGAGGCTCATGGATGGGTTTGGAGTGATGGAAGTGCTTTGGATTACGTGAATTGGGATGAGGGAGAACCATCGAGCGGGAGCACCGAGAAATGGGTTCATGTGGGTGTTTCGAATTATAAAACGTCATTTAAAGCAAATTTCTGTTTAAAATTTCCTTCAGATGAGACCATGGAACGGAAAGTGGAACAATGTGGAAAGTGATTACCAAGCACTCGTTGGATGCAAGAAACCGGCCGGTAAAGGGACCAAGGATTGATTGCTCGATGCTAAAGATGGCTTGAACTCGTCAAAAACTTGTCAGGATTGTTAAAACAATGAATAAATCTTATGATTAGAAAAGTTGTAGTTGATCGAAAAAACTGAAATTTCTTTTGCATCAACTTAGTACATCTAGTTTCTAGAATATGCTTTCTCCACAAAAACGACAAAACGCTAAAAATGAAACAACCTACCGTAAATACTGTAATAGTACCCCACCCCCCTCGTACAGTCGCGTAGTCGCAAAAGTTTTTTTTTTCAAAGCGCCCGTACTTTCAAAAAATGCGTCTTTGGTATCAAAGAATAGCTAAAATTCAGAGCTATTTTTTGATACCAAAGCGCACATTGTAGCATAAACCAGTGTCGAGAAAAACTCGTTCAAAGCTAGACTACGCAACACTCCACACCGTCATTATGGTGGTGGGGGACTATTGCAGTATTTAAGGTAGTTAAAATAAAGTTCAAAACAAAACAAAAATGAGTTCACTATCTTTTTAAACATTTTATTGTTTATTAGGATAATAGCTGTCAAAAAATAGATTTGGTATCGTTGATTTGATCGTAAAAATTTCCCCTCCACTTTTCATCGAATCTAGACGATTGTGGTGAAAGGAAATGACAAAAATCACCACACAAACGGGATTTTATTTCTAATTTTTGGTTTATAACTTATAAACAGCTAATTTGCTACAAAATTCCAATCAAATTGAATGACCGTGGGCTCAAAAAAGATCCAACAAGATTGATCTGGAACTGAACCTAACTAGTTTTCTTAATAAGGTTTCTTTTTTTGTTCTCTTCTGGCCTGTCTATTGCTTGGTAAATTTACGTCTTAACAACAATCAAAAATGAGTAGAAAGATGAATTATGAAAAAAGTTATCGCATAGATACAGTGGTCCACAAAAGTAATGCCCCATTGCCGTCCAACAGTATGCTTTGTAAGGAAATCTTTCAAAATTGACATTTCAGAAAAAGAGTAGGGTATGTCAAAATGTGCTTAATGTGTAAATAAGAGCAGCTTCTCCAAAAACAGTACAAATGTTCTGATGGCATTCCGTAGCTTTCTTGATTAACTTGAATTCAAAGAATATGGCAGCCCTGGTTTTAAATTTTTGGTCATCCATCTTTGTCGAGCTGAAACAATACAAATATTATTCAAAACAAAAAAGTTTTTGCAAAAACTAAAAAAAAAACATAAGCACATTTTGACATATAGTGGTCCACAAAAGTATTGTCCCATTGCCATCCAAAAGTTTCTTTCGTACGAAAATCTTGCAAAATAACGATATTCCGAAAAAGTGTAGGGTATTTTGCTTACCCATAAGACTCTACTTTTCAAGAATATAAGATTTATTTGTATACATTACATACAAATTAAAGTATAAAATAAAACCAATATGTTACTTAAAAATTAGCTCCACAAAAGTAATGCCCCATTTGCAAAGAATTAACACCATTTTTTAAAAGCAATACTTGGTTGGTCCTCCTTTTGCTTTTATTACTTCATTGAGTCGATCCGGCATGGAATCCACGAGATTCTCCAAAAGACTTTGGGGGATGGTGGCCCAGAGAAGTTGAATGTGAACCCATAAGGCAGCCTTCGAATCGAATTTCTTTCCCTTGAGTCGCGACTCCACAAATGACCAGAGATGCTCGATAACATTGATATCCGGTGAGTAGAGAGGCGAATTGATCAATTTGACTCGATTTTCCGGCAAATCAGCCCGGAAGTCGTGCTCGTGTACCATTTTGAAGAGTCACCACCGTTCCCATCATGAGCCTTGACTTGTGTTTCGGGTCGTTGTCCTGGTAGAGCATCCATCCAGGAGGCATCGTCTGTGTGGCAAAAGGCAGCATTTGGGTCTCCATAATGTTCTTGTAAGCCACAGCATTCATCGTTGAGTTGACGTGAACTAATGGACCTACTGAAGTTCGTGACATCGCTTCTAAAGAAAAACAGTCAGGTGACAAAATACTAAAAAGGGGATGCTCGATAACATTAATATCCGGTGAGTAGAGAGGCGAATTGATCAATTTGACTCGATTTTCCGGCAAACCAGCCCGGAAGTCGTGCTCGTATTTTAAAAGAAAAATATAGACTTTAAACATATGTTTTCAGAAGGAATTTTGCAAAAAATACTTTTGAATGGCAATGGGGCTTTACTTTTGTGGACCACTGTATCTGGCATAAGTTCTATAAGTTCAAAAGTGCCCTAGTCAAGCAAAAGTTTACTTCATTAACATTAAGATTCATTTTCTGGATTGTTTCTCTGTTAAAAATAACAATCACAATATCTGCAAGTGCTACCAAATTTCCAGAAAATATCAACAAAGTCGTGCAAGAAAAATCCTGTTTTTGAGGAGATTTTTGTCATTTCCTTTCACCACAATTGTTTAGATCCGATGAAAAGTGGAGGGGGAAATTTTTAGGATCAAATCAACGATAACAAATCTATTTTTTTTCGACAGTCAAAATAAAATGCTTGACAGCCACAATAAATAACAAATTTCGTTTTTCAGTTTCTGTTTTGAACTTTATTTTGACTAGATTCATTTTGACTCGATTGTTTAATTTTTTGCTAACGTAGAACTTTCTTTCAAATTTTCCAATAGTCAAAACCCGAATTTTCCTTTGCCGTATAAATATTTTCATTCAAGAGAATTCAAATGTGTAAAAATACTGGTTTTGATCCAGAAACAACAAAATCGACCGGCTAGATGCGTAAAGTTGAGTTTTTAGATGGGTACTGAGTTGAGTGCAGGCTTGAAGAGCTGCTCCAGCGAAAGTAAACCTAAACGAAACGATTCTCTGAATGCCGTATTTACTCTAATATGTGCCTAAGAAGCAGGAGCTTTTTTGCTGAATTAAAATCTCTACTAAATGTTCCAGCATTAGAGAGCTTAGAGGCGCTCTCTAATGGTACTACGCCTCTAATGGCACTGCATGCAAATCGCTTTATCCAAAGTTATTTTCCTTTTGTCGGTATTTAGCAGCCCACTTTTTGCTAATTAAGTAAATCTGTTCCAGCTTGTTGCCTGTTTGTTTGTGCGTTTGCTTTGTAACATTTGGTCCACACTGAGCGCCGGTGTCAAAAACTGGTGAAGCTTCTGAAGCTGCTGAAGCTGCTATTCAAGCTGGAACATTTAGTAGAGATTTTAATTCAGCAAAAAAAGCTCCTGCTTCTTAGGCACATATTCGAGTTTTGACCGCGAATCGGCCACAAAAGAAACACGTCTTTTAAGACTAATTTTTGATCTTTAGGTTAACAACAAGAGTTTCATTTTCGACTCTTGTAGCTTGTAGAAATAACACAACACAACTTGATTACTTTTAAGGAGTTTGCTGATGATTTTCTACTCATTTACAACAGGCAAATGATTTTCTACTCATTGACTTTTTACTTCTTAATTTGTATTAGGTTGGCGACATTGAAATTTCGTTTTTGAGCAACAACAAAATTTATTCGTAAAAATAAACTAGAAACAAACAACATTAATCAACAATATATTCGCCACAGCTATCAATAACATTTTTCTATCTTTGACGCAAATTATGGATACTCTCTTGAAAGAATTGTACTGGTTTTGATTGAAAGAAAGCAGAGACCCATTTTTGATGTCGTCAATGTTCTGGAACTTGTGGCTTTCGAGTGAATGCCGAATAAAGAAATGGTAGTCAGAATGACATATCTGGCAATATCTGGACTATAAGGCGAATGAACTAGAAGTTCCCAGCCCAATTGCTCAATCTTCTCTTGCGTAATTTTGGCAATGTGAGGACGGGCATTGTCTTGTAACAATCGCACCGTTGTCGGATCAATTCCTTTTGAGCGAAGAACCGCGTCCACGCGATCTAGTTGTTGAACGTAAAGATTTGCATCAACAATCACTTCAAAATTAACACTTCGAAATGAACCAAGCCTCGGGTATTCCACCAAACCGACAGCATAACTTTTTTCCGTGAAAATCTGGTCTAGGTATTGGCTTTGAAATTTCATCCGGGTCGAGCCATTGTCTTATTCTTGTAATATTGTCATAATGAATCCATTTCTTAGAAGTTAAAATTGCATCCCAAAATTCACTATCCTTGGAAACTCGAAGCAAATTTCCTGAACAAAGAACTCTGATGGCTTTGCTTGCATCGCTTAGTGAATGTGGAATTCATTTTCCAGCTTTATTGATCTTGCTCAATTCATGTAAATGGTTTTCGATTGTTTTATGATCACGATTAAAATATTCCGCAAGTTCACGTGTAGCCTTTATCGGATCACTTTCGATTATCTGCTTCAAATCATTGTTTGTCCTCGTCCCAGATCTTCCAGACTTCCGTCACCCTTTCGAAATCTTTTGAACCAGTTTTGACATTGATGAACAGTGATAAAATCTTTCTCAAATACTTTACAAAGTGATTCATGCGATACAGTTGCTGTTTTTTCCTGTTGAAAATCCTACAGCAACAAATGCGAAGTCGATATTTGAGGTCGTCTAGCATCTATAAGATTTTTTTATTAAAATTCTTCAACTGGAAATAAAGAAAAGACGCGTAATAGAGCACAATAATTATATCTTTAAAACAGAAGAGATTGCGGTGGTAATAGTATCCACAATGTTAAAATCCATAAAGAGAAACGCAAACGAAATTTCAATGTCGCCAACCTAATATTAGGTTGGCAACTTAATAATGACGCGCTTATGTAACAAATGATTTATTTCAAAAAAACACAAAAGAAGAGCTTTCAATT